GGCGGGAATCGAACTCATGCGGAAGTGGCTTTAACTTCTCAGTGCTGTGCTTTAACCCGCTGCGCCACCAGGGAGGGCCCCTATCTACTTCAGTTTTACTTCCTTTTTGTTGATGGTTCTTGAAGATTTGCTTTGCTTTTTTTTTTTTTTTTAACATTTATTTATTTACAGAACTGGGCCAGAGGTGCAGGATTCACCAGAGACAAAGTGGGGAACAGAACAGGCAGATCCATTAAAACACACTGTTGAGGGCAGCAGCGGAGAGGTCTGCCATGCCATGTGGGTCACCTCCAGGGCGGGGATTAAACTCATGCTGAAGTGGCTTTAGCTTTTTAGTGCTGCACCACCAGGGAGGGCCCTGCTTTGCTTTTTTAAGAGGTCAGCTACTAATTTAAAAAGATAGTTTTCATTTTTATGCAGCATTTTTTACGTATTTTATAGCAACAGAATTTTGCCTTCTCTGTTCTGCCTTAATTTCAGATATGGAAAGGTCCAGTGTGGATATGAACTTTGGAGAGTATAAAAAAAAAATAGTAGTGACTTTATGTGAACTTTTCTCTAATTTAAAAACTCTTAGGTAATATTTTGAAAGGTAGCCTGCCATATCCTAAACTGTCAAAATGAGGGTTTAGTACCTAATTCAGTAGTCACTACATTAATATTAATGTTTTTGAGCACAAGAACAACCACTTTAGTCCAATTTTTCTCTTTCTGCAATTGCTAATAAAAACTATTATAATTAATACTTATTGGGCTACACGTGTACTAAGTACTCTATTAAGCTATTCCAGCCTCATATGAGGTATGATCTATTATCTCTATCCATGAGAACCGAGGCATGGAGAGGCCAGCTTGGCCAACTGGACCCGGCTAAGAGGAAAGCCTGGACTGGCAGTCAGAGCCAGCGTTTCCTTCATAAATATCTCGTGGCTGCCTGTCACCTGTATTGTTCTCTGAACAACATTTAATTATTTAAGGTTCAAAGATTTTCTTTATTATCTAATTGCTACATAGGATTTTATTTTCTTGATCAAATTGAGTTTTCTCACATATATATGTATGTATGTGTGTGTGTATGTGTGTGTGTATATATATATATATATATA